GTAAACAAATTCAGAGTTGCAGAATACAAAATCAACACACAAAGATGGGTTGTTTCTATAACAATGAACAATCCAAAAAGGATAAAAATAATTCCATTTACAACAGCATCAAAATAAAATAGTTAGAAATAAACTTAACCAAGGAGGTGAAAGATTTGTACACTGAAAGTTACGAAACATTGATGAAAGAAATTAGAGAAGACACAAATATATTGAAAGACATCCCATCTTTGTGAATTGAAAGACAATATTGTTAAGATGTCAGTACTACAGACTTAGTGCAATCCTTGTAAAAATTCCAACGTTTTTTTGCAAAAATAGAAGAACCCTAAAATTCATATGGACCCTGAATAGCCAAAACAGTCTTGAAAAGAAAGAACAAAGCTGTAGGTCTCATACTTCCCAATTTCAAAACTTACTACAAAGCTGCAGTAGGTAAAATGGTGTGGTACTGGCATAAAGATGGATATTCAGACCAACAGAATAGAATAGAGAGCCCAGAAATTAACCCTCGCATATATAGTCAAATGTTTTTCAAAAGGATGCCAAGACTGTTCAATGGGGGAAGGACAGACTTTTCAATAAATGATATTGGCAAAACTGGATAGCCACATGCAAAGGAATGAAGTTGGACTCTTATCTTCACCATATACAAAAATTAACTCAAAATGGATCAAAGACTTAAATATAAGAGCTAAAATAGAAAACTCTTACAAGGAAATGGGAAAAGCTTATTGACATTGGATTTGGCAATGATTTCTGGGATATGACACCAAAAGAACAGGCAACAACAAAAGGTAGATAAATTGGGCCTCATCAAAATTGAAAGCTGCATGAAAGGACTCATGAACAGAGTGAAACGGGAACTCATGGAATTAGAGAAAATATTTGTAAATCATATATCTGGTACAGGATTAAAATCCAGAATATATTGGGTTGTTGGAAAAGTCATGACACATTTTTGCAATGAGAAACAGAAAAAATATGTAATGACTTTTCCGACAACCCAATATAAAGAACTACAACTGAACATAAACCCACTTCAAAAATGGGCGAAGGACTTGGATAGACAGTTCTCCAAAGAAGATGTAGAAATGGCCAATAAGCACATGAATGGGTACTCAACATTACTAATTGTTAGGAAATACAAATCAAAACTGAGATACCACTTCATACCCAGTGGGATGGTAATTAGAAAAACAAAATGTGTTGGTGAAGATGTGGCGAAATTAGAACCCTTGTGCATTGCTTGGAGGAATGTAAAATGGTGCAGCCCCTATGGAAAACAGGATGGTGGTTCCTCAAAAAATTAAACAGAATTACCATATCCAGCAATTCCACTTCTGGGTATGTACCCAAAGGAATTGAAAGCAAGGAATTGAACAGATATTTGTCCGCCCATGTTCATAGCAGCATTATTCACAATAGCCCAAAAGTGGAAGCAACCCAAGTGTCTTTTGATGGATGGATAAACAAACAAACAAAAAA